CTGCGTCTTCAGCGGCTCAGATGTCGGGAGTAAATGACGACTGCTATGTTCATTATTACATCTAACAACGAAACACCTTAGGAGTCATTCTTGTCTACATCTGCTCCGGCGGTGAAGCAACGGCGGACTGATGACAGTCACTCAGGGGCGGAGCTAAGGTAAGACGCCAGTCCAGTCTGTGCTGAAACGCTGCTGTCAATCAAACTATCGTGGGAGGGGCCTGTCTGTGTGACGTCACACAGACAGGCATCTGAGATCGACTCGATTTGAGAAAGGGGTAAAGATTTTAGTAGATTAACAAAAAACCACTGGGTGGATTTTTATCATTATAGGGTGGTTGTGTACACATACTGCCAACACACATTTCAGTTCAAACAGCTTGTAAAAGTGCATGTAGCATCCTATGACCCCTTTAAAACAAGCTGTTTTTGTTGCATATGTCAGCAGTGCATGGGCGGCGAGAAATCATTTGTCTATTTAAAGCGTCCTGACAAACTGCAGGACTCGAGCTGATATTTTAGCCCTGCCAATAGAACGATACACAGGAAGCAGCTTTATAAAAGAAAGAGGCCACTTCCCGTCTCGCTGCAGGACTGCCAACATGCCCACGCAGCGAGCAGATCCCCAGAAGAGACCGGATCTCATTTAATCACTTCACTGGAGATTGAAATTCATTTGCACATTTCTAAACCAAAACAGAGACTCATTATTTATAGCATTTCCAATGTGCAGGAATGGACAGTATAGATATAAATAAAGCAAATAAAGAGGAAAATGAAAGAATATTAGTGTTTGTTATAATTTTTGTTTTTAATCAAATATATTTAAGGTTTTGTTTAAAATAAAACCAAAAGTTTTATTTCAGGTAAATAAGCTAAATTAAGGATTCCCAAACTTTTCTTGTCTGCCAAACCCCGTTGAGGTAAAATATTTATTTTTAAGATTTTAAGTTAATATAAAACATTTACATTTATCTGAAGGTTGTTAATGGACACATGACATGCATGTAAACACATTCAATTATGAAATATTATTTTATATAAAATAATTTGTATATTTTTAATATACATTTTATATTTTTTAAATTTTTTTTAAAATAAGTTTTATAAAAAAAAATTCATTTTAATTTGTGTCTGTTATTTTAGTATCATTGAGATACTTTTTAAAAAATATTTTGAATTTGAGTTTTATTTTTTTAATTTCATTTTAATTTTAGTTATTTTGTTTTGTGTTGGTCATTTTTATTAGTTATTGTTTTAGGTCTATATAGTTTTTATTTTAGTACATCAAGTTAAACTATGAAAATGATAAATGTTTCTTTGTCAACTGGCTGAAATCAAATACATTTTATAGATAGTTAGGGCAAAATACATTACCAAGAATTAAGTAGTCAGACATTCGTAAGTCATAAATACTGACGTTAACATACAGGAAAAATATGAAACGGACGCCTTGCAGATACAGACGGAGTAAATAATGCTTTGTTTTGATTAAAAGATTAACATTAACATAACTGGCTGCATGTCATGTTTATTACTTATCAGAGCTGATGAAACCAGAGATTTGCACTAAATAAAACCAAATAATCCACATAAAATGAAATCAACAGATGCAAGAAGTATTCGATGAAGCCCATTATGTATGTTTACTCTAACTGTATAGAGATTTTCACGAAGAAAATGAACAAATATCCTGAAAATTTTTCGGACTTTGAAGCATAGTCTACTGCCACATAAAACTAAAAATATGAGCTGCTGTGAAAACTGCTCAAAACAAACACAGCTAGTTTTATCCAGACGGATATAATAATAATATAATAATAATAATAATAATACGATAATATGCGGATGTCATTCATGAAACTTTGCAGCGTGTATGTGGCCGAATAATAAAAGTTCTATACAAATATTTATTCACGATTCTTTCTCGAGTCGATTCTGATCCACGAATCGATTCTGCATCGATTTATCGTTGCAGCCCTGATGGATAGATGGATAGATAGATAGATAGATAGATGATAGATAGATAGATGATAGATAGATAGATAGAAAAAGTCAGATGATAAGATGGATTGATGGATAGAAAGTCAGATGATAAGATGGATAGAAAAAGTCAGATGATAAGATGGATAGAGAGAGAGATAGATAGATAGAAAAATCAGATGATAAGATGGATAGATAGATAGAGAGATAGATAGATAGAAAAATCAGATGATAAGATAGATAGATAGATAGATAGAAAAAGTCAGATGATAAGATGGATAGATAGATAGAGAGAGAGATAGATAGATAGAAAAATCAGATGATAAGAGAATGGATAGATGGATAGATAGATAGTCAGATGATAAGATAGATAGATAGAAAAAGTCAGATGATAAGATGGATAGATAGATAGAGAGATGGATAGAAAAAGTCAGATGATAAGATGGATAGATAGATAGAGAGAGAGATAGATAGATAGAAAAATCAGATGATAAATGGATGGATAGATGGATAGATAGATAGTCAGATGATAAGATAGATAGATAGAAAAAGTCAGATGATAAGATGGATAGATGATAGATAGAGAGATAGATAGATAGAAAAAGTCAGATGATAAATGGATGGATAGATAGATAGTCAGATGATAGATAGATGGATGGATAGTTTTAGTTAAGTATGATCTCCCTGATTTCTTTTTTTAAATTTTTTTATGATTTTTATGATTTTATGATTTTTATGATTTTATGAACCCTTAGTTCCCTCATGAATCCCCAGGGTGGGAAACCCTTAGTTGACTGGTGTTAGATTGAATTGATTTCATTATTAAAAGCAAACTTTGCAAACAGTTTCCTGAGATGTTTATTCCAGTGGATCAGAGCTGTATGTGCATCGCTGGGAATGTGGTGACGCTCAGACGAACGGACTGAATGCTCTCTTCATTCACTCTCTCTCGTTCTGTCAGGAGAATCCGTCTCTGTCCTCGAGTCGTGACGCGTCGCGGCCTCTTCCGGCTCTGCTGTTCAGCTGTCAGGTCGGCGTCGGCCGAACCAATCTGGGAATGATCCTGGGATCTCTGGTGATGATGCACCTCACGCGGGAGGCACAGGAGCCGACAGCACCGTAAGACCCCAACACATCACATGATCACGCTAGCACTCAGAATGTTAGGGGGTCGGTAAGATGTTTTTGTTTTTGAAAGATTCTTTTAATAAACACAGACTCTCTGCTCACCAAGGCTGCATTTATTTGATCAAAAATACAGTAAAATTGTGAAATAATATTGCTATTTGAAATAGCTGTTTTCTATGTGAATATCTGTTAAACTGTAATGTATTTCTGTGATGCGCAGCTGTATTTCCAGCATCATTACTCCAGTCTTCAGTGTCACATGATCTTCAGAAATCAGTATAATATGCTGATCTGCTGCTCGAGAAACATTTCTGATTATCATCAATGTTGAAATCAGTTGTGCTGCACAATATTTTTGTGGAAACCGTGATGCATTTTATTTGTCAGGATTCACAGATGAATAGAAAGTTCAAAAGAACAGCATTTATTTGAAATAGAATGTTTTGTAACATCATAAATGTCTTTACTGTCACTTTTGATTAGATTAATGCATCCTTGATGAATAAAAGTAATAATTTATTTTTAAAAAATCTTACTGACCAGAAACTTTTTGTATATTCATTAACATTTTTTTGCATGCTTAAGAATGTTTAATAAAAATGTGTATTTGTGTATATTATGTGCATTTACATTTAGTCATTTAGCAGACGCTTTTACCCAAAGCGACTTACAAATGATGACAATAGAAGCAATCAAAACTAACAAAAGAGCAATAATAAGCAAGAGCTATGACAAGTCTCGGTTAGCCTGAATAACGCAGTACACATACAGTTAAAGTGTAATTTTGCGTTTAATGTGAATGTTGTCACATGTTTATAGAGCTGAAGAGGATGCAACAGACAAACCTAAAATGCAGTTCCAGGTTATTCAGACCCTCATCAGTAAGCTGCCTAAAGGTCAAGAGGTCATGGAAGAGGTTTGTATTTGAATGTGTTCAATCTAATATTTCTATATAAACACTGAGAGATCCCAGATGAGCTGTTGACCGCGTCCTGCTGTGTTTCAGGTGGACCGAGCCATCGATCTGTGCTCCGAGATGCACGACATCCGAGAGGCCATTTATGAGAACAAACAAAAGCTGGAGGGAATCGGTGAAGACTATCAAATCCAGGTGAGCATCTGCGTATGATGTTAGTCAAGGTGAATGTGTTTCATTTTTCACTGTCGCTAGAATTAAATAAGCAGTTTTTTGCTGCTTTTTACACGACTGGTCAAAGTTTTTTATTTTTAAATTTTTTTTTTCTTGTTTTAGAATGATTTCTGAAGGATCATGTGACACTGAGGAAAGTAGTAATGATGCTGAAAATTCAGCTTTGATCACAGAAATAAATTACACTTTAACAGATACTCGCATACAACACAGCTATTTTGAATGTTAAAAATATTTCACAATTTTTATTATGTTTGATCAAATAAATGCAGCCTCGGTGAGCAGAAACATTCCATCTTAATTATTCTAAACTTCTGACCAGTAGTGTATGCAAGCACCCCTTCGCATGTGAAATCAGTGGAGGCTGACGAAGACGTTTTGAGCTCTGCTTTATCTGAAAGATGGATTTCTCATAATACGAGCCCCGAATCTGAAGACTAGCAGTGTTTAAAGCACTTCATAACTTTGTCAGGCTTCATTACACAGACTGGACGGATGAGTGTGTGTAAGACGTTTGAGACGCTTTAAGCATCACTGAGCTGCTTCTGTCCGTATCCAGTTATTCTTCTTCTCTGGACAAACTGAAATTCTATCTAGTTTTGCTTGTGGATCACTTGTGTGCAGAACCAGATTTACGGCCCACAGCTGGACAGATTGTAAATAAAGTGTCTTTTCTGTTGTCTCTGTGTGTGCGTGTGTGTTTTCAGGGAAGCAGCACTAAAGATTACTTCCTCCATCGAACTCTACAGAGTCTAGAGCGATATTTCTACCTGATCGTCTTTAATGCTTACCTGCATGAACAGGTATAGTGTGTTTTCAAGCCACTCTTTTAAGAGTCACTATTCATTTGCTAGTCATATTTATTATGTTGTTCCTCTCTGTTTTAGTATCCGCTGGCGTTCGCCTGTAGTTTCAGCCAATGGCTGTGCTCTCACGCCTGGATGTACCGCCTCCTTTCCTGCATGAACCAATCAGAGCTCAGAGCACCAGCTGACCTGCTCACGAAAGGAGCTCGAGTTCTGGTGAGAAACATCAACAACATTACCCATCTGACATTGCTTGGAATATATTAAGGACACCAATTATCATTACAACATTTTAAGCAAAATCATCCTTTGATTAGAAGATTTAGTTCAAGAGAAATGGAATGTTACAACTGATTCCAAATTCTGTGACATTCAGTGATACAAAGTTTCAAATGAACTGTCAACTCAAAATGAAACAATGTCAAAATGAAAAAAGTATAAAACTATCATAAACTTTTTAAAACTCTAGTCAGTGAATAATCATGACTGAAATAGCACTTTTGGTCTGCTCCTCACACATACTGACCTGAATATACTTTTCCTGACAGCCTAGTCTTCATTCACTTGCATTATATTGTAAAGAGCAGCATGAAGAAATCCTGATGATCTCAACACTCGCTCTACTTTCTCTCCTGATTGTGGAAGTGTTTCACTATTGAGATTAATGTGGATTTGCTCTGCACTTTCTCACTTAGCAACAGTATCTAAGGAAAGTGTGACTGTTGTAAAAGTGTGACGCTGTGGCTTGGCTTCTCTTTCTAAGCAGCAGCCTTGAACGCTTTCTTTAGTGCTGAATTGACTGAAATGAGGAAGTCGAACTACGAGTGGCACACAGAGAGAGAGAGACAAACACACACACACACACACTCACACACACACACACACACACACACAGAGAGAGAGAGAGAGACAAACACACACACACACACACACACAGAGATGTCTTGAGTGGCATTCTTTTACAAACAGGCTTCAAAACACACACACGATCGTATAAAATATCTTTGATGTGTGTTTTAATTGACTGAGTGTTTCAACTCCTCTAGGACTCTTTTTGTAAATTCTATTGATTCATGTGAAATTATTTTTAATGCAATATTTATTTTTAGATTTATAATGTATTTTCATATTTTTCTGTATTGTAACCTTTTTTTTGTTGTTGCAGAAATAGCCATAATTGCTTGCTAGTATAACAAATCAAATTATTGTTTATTTTCAACAAACTATTTTCTGGTGGGGCTTTACTTTCAAAAAATGTTGTGTGTCCACCTCAAATATCTAATAACTAAAAATGTTAAATATTTTTACTTTATTTATTTTTTGAGGTTTGCAATTGTTCCTACAGTTTGAGATGTTTTGAATACTGTTTAACTTCATTTTTCTATATATTACTTTAGTAACAGGGTTGAATGTTCATGCTCAACAAATGGAGCCAATATAATTGTCCAAAAATTTAAATAATAATAATTTTATATATATATATATATACATGTATGTGTATATATATATGTGTGTGTGTGCATGCATTATATATATATAATTATTATTGTTGTTATTATTATTATGGAAAGGAGCTAAACTAAAAAAAAAAATCAAATATAATAATAATAATAATAATAACAACAACAACAACCATTTTTATTTTTTTTGTTTTATTTATCTATTTAATAGCTCTTTTCTAAAACCCAAGGTTGTTTTACAAAGTTAGAAAAAAAATCTAAAAATAATAATAAAAATAACCTATGGTAACAATAATCCAAAATTAATAATTTGTACCCTCTTCGTAGTCTCTGCTGTCAAAATAATTCCCCAGTTTAATATTCAGTTACACATTATCTTAAGATGACACTTTTCTCTGTAAACCTTCACTAAACCAATAAGGATGATGGATTGTTTCTGAAGAGCTGTGTTGTATTTCTAGGTTGCAGATGAATATTTAGCGCCTGACGTTCTGAGCACCATTAAGCAGATGAAAGTGGCTAATTTCAGACGAGTGCCCAAAATGTCGATCTATGGGATGGCACAGCCGACATCTGAGGTAACGCTTCCCAAAAGCCCCTTCAGACTGACTGTTAATTGTTAATGCTCACCGACAGCATCGCTCATGTTTCAGGCGACGGGAGCCGTTCTGGAGTATCTGACGGGTGAGAAGAGGAAGCACAGCAGTGTATTGTGGGTAAATTTGCAGGATGAGCTTGTTCTGGAGGCCAACGGCCAGATCTTCTGTCCCAGAGAGCCCACGTTTGTGGACCAGCACATATGTGTGCTCTCCTCACAGACGCACCAGATCGAGATCGAGGTCAGAGTCTGCTTTTGCTTGTTGTTATACGTGACCCGTGCTGGCAAAATGAGTGTGAATGCACACGGACTAGTTTTGAGCTACAGGCAAAAAAGTGAAAAATGTCGCTTTTTTGAAGTTTTCACAAAAATGAGTTAATTGAGCCCTCATCTAGCGATCCCAATGCTCTAAATAGCAATTAAACATCTAAAAGTATCTTTATTTTTACGTTTTCTGAGAGGAGTACCCTTTCTCTGTTAGCTTCTCGTGCTGCCACTCATCCAAAGCACACACATAAAGCGCTCTATCCAGGGGCGTAGTTTGTGGGGGGGATAGGGAAGATATAACCTTTTATAAGCGCTAACTTCACGTACGAACTGAACGGAGCAGTTTATCAGCACAATATGACTGAAGCACAGTTCTTGAGCATCGCACGAATCACTCTATACACCGCACGCGTTCACCAGCACGCTCGAACTGTGATGAGATTTGTATTAGCAAATTCTTTTTTTTTAAAAATTCATTTATAATTATTTATTAGCTTTTCATCAGTTTGTGAACCCTTGCTCTACACATTGAACAGCATCTGTATCTCTCTCTGTGTGTGTGTGTGTGTGTGTGTGTGTGTGTGTGTGTGCGCTTGTGTGTGTGTGTGTGTGACATAGAGACTGGAAACAGCTCTGAAAGAGGAACTTGTGGGAAGTCAGAAATGGATTGAAGTGACTCTGGAGCAGGAGAAGCAGATGAAGATGTTCAAGAGCTGCGTGACGGTGCAGGAGATCTTTAACCAGCACAAGAGTTCACACCAGGGACTGCAGTACAGACGGATACCCTTCCCAGAATGCTCTGCTCCGACTGAAGAGGTGAAACACGCTTTAACAGACCTGTAAAAGATCTTCCCGTTCAGATGCAATGATGAAGGCTAATGATGGGACAAAGAAAAGACCTTCTGCTCCCTCTAGTGTTCTTCAGAGTCACTGTTAGTTTCGATTTTACAGAAATATTTCACCCAGAAATTCTATTCTATTCTTTTTATTTTATTTTTGACCCAGAAATATGTGATTAACTAACCCTCAGGTTATTTTATTTAATTTATTTTAGGTCTGTTTATTAAATTTTTTATTTTAATTTAGTATTTATTTAAATTTTTATTTATTTATTTTTATATTATTCTGTTATTATTATAATTATTTTATTAATTTTTTTATTTTACTTTAGTTTTTTTTTTTAAAGAAACCATGATTATCAAGCTCCAAAATTGACAAAAAAAAGCACCTTCAAGTAGTCTGTATCACACATGCAAAGTCTTCTGAAGGCAATCAATAAAGATTCAAATGTGATTCAATAAGATAAAAATAATAAGATGTAGATTAAAAAAAGCATGACACCTTGACTTCAATGGTTCTCGTGTCTCATAAAAAGCAAACCCAAAAAGCTCCAAATTTCTCTCTTTGTGTTCAAGTCGTAAAGAATGTTATGATCGTGGTTAAATAAGACGGCAAACTATCGCTGAAATAGTCTTCAGAATGTAAACCTGGTTTTATTGGGTTCAGTCTGACAGTTTCATTATCTTTCTTTTGTGTGCTTTATAGAGTCGTATGAATGTGTTTGTGAAAGTGATTTATCACAGTCTTTCATTTGGTCACATTGATAATGTGTTTGTGTCTCTCTCTCTCTCTCTCTCTGTGTGTGTGTGTGTGTGTGTCTCTCTGTGTGTGTGTGTGTGTGTGTGTGTTTGTCTCTCTCTCTCTCTCTCTCTGTGTGTGTGTTCAGGGTTTGGACAGGCTGCTGGAGGCGATGAAGTCTTGTCTCGCTGAAGACTCGCTCTCTGCGTTCGTCTTTAACTGCTCTAATGGTAAAGGACGGACGACCACAGCAATGGTGATCGCGGCGCTCACTCTCTGGCACTTCAACGTACGTCACAATCATACACTACTGAAATTATACAGCCAGATTTGTTTTTCTACCTGGAGGCAGTTGTAGGATTCAAAGTAGCTTTACAGAAAATCAATGTTTAAAGTATCTTAATATCGTCATGCCTTAATCTCATTTAGCAGATTAGAGCTTGACATTAATAGAGTTTACATTTTGCGAAGATACAAGCAATCAAGCAGTTGAAATTTGCATATATATATATATATATATATATATATATATATATATATATTGTATATATATATATA